CAAAAAAAAAAAAAAAAAAGTCAACTGTAGCCCTGTTTTGAAACCCTTTATAAGGATAAAAGTGAAGGCTGTTGATTATTTTTTTAAAAACGTTTATAATCTATATACCTATAAAGAAATGTAATTTAGATGTCTAATTATAATACTGACAGAGCTGCCAAGTACTTCTCTCCTATTGCTACTCATCATGCCCTTCCTGTCTCTGCCTTTCCCTCTATGTCACTGCTCCTTTTATGCTTCCTTTAAACCACCTTCTGGGAAATGGTTTAAAATACCACTTCCATTCTTCTGAGAAATAAAAAGAAATAGAAAACACTGCTTTATCTAGGCTATCTGAAGTCTAGAACTATTCACAGGTCATAATCTCACGTGACGATATATTGCATACATATACCCACAAATTACACACACAATTTTTTTTTGGTCGTTCTGGGGTTTGCTAGGCAAAACTTGAGTCAAGTGACAGAGCTTGTATTCAATTTATTTCTAAGATACGGTCTCAGTTTTTTGACAAGACAGGCCTGGTCTGTAAAGATTATAGGAATGGACAACCAGCACTTGAAGGTGCATTTTGACATACTTGGTTGCATATTCTTTTGACAAACAAAAATATATTGCTGGCACAGGCATCAGTGGCTCACTCCTGTAATCCTAGCTACTCAGGAGGCTGAGATCTGAGGATCACAGTTCAAAGCCAGCCCGGGCAGGAAGGTCCGTGAGACTGATCTCCAATAAACCTCCCAGAAAACTGGAAATGGCACTATAGCTCAAGTGGTAGAGTGCTAGCCTTGAGCTGAAGAGCTGAGGGACAGTGCCCAGGCCCAAAGTTCAGGCCCCACAACCAAGACACAGACACAGACACAGACACACACACACACACACACCCTTCAGGGAGAGTGCCCAGGCACTGAGCTAGCCCCAGGACTAGCAAAAAAATTATGTTTATTAAACAAATAATACATATATAACACTTATTATTCATATTCCTGAAAATATATGAATCTGTCCCATAATTGATGCATCCAAATCAAAGGCAGAGAGTTATACTAGTGGCTTCATTCTTTGTTTTAATTGATTTTTACAACACTGGGGATTGAACCCAGGGGCCCACACATGCTAGGCAAGTACTCTATCACTTGAGCTAGTTCCAAAGTTGTTTGCTTTAAGTTATTTTTCATGTAGGGTCTCAAGCTTTAGCCCAGGTCCAGCCTAAGATCTGAGTAGCAAAGCTGGAATTATAGGCATTTGCAACTATGTCCAACTTGTGCTTTAGACAGTATTCCACTAACTTGTCTCAGTTGGTATCAAACTACAATCTTTGTATCTCTGCCTCCCCCACCCCACCTCTGTAGCTGAGATTATAGGTATGTACCACCATACCCAGGTTTATTTCTTTTTTAAAGGAACTTCTTTTAACTGTTTTCAGGGCACTATACTAAATGGCATATACTTAATGTTTAATAATAGAGAAATTCACTCACCATTTCAGTGGTGTGCCTTCATATTCAAACCATATCTCACTAATGTCTTCTTGTCTCATAACCTTCTGAAAATGTTTTTTCACTTTGTCAGTTACCAACGTCAAATAACTTACTCTTGGCAAAAGCAACTGAAATGAAAATTTATAAAACTGTATTTACCAGTTATTTTTTCCAAAAAAATGTACTAAATAGGTTTTAATTTTAAGGAAAAAACAGCTACAATCTGTGCATTCATTTAAATATCCAACACATAGTCAATTCCTTTCTATAGAAAAATCAAAGGCTAATGAGGGTTAATATGCGTTACTTCTTAAGGGGGCTATTCCCCTCCCCACCAATGGTACTGGAGTTTCACTCAAGGCTTTGTACTTCCCAGGCAGGCACTGTCATTGATCTACGCCCCGTCTCTTTATGCTTTAGGTATTTTTTTTAATAGGGCCTCCCATTTATGCCTATGCAAGCCTGAACCAACATGCTTCCTACACCACCACACCCAGGTCTTTTTTACTGACTAAAAGGGTCTCAGAGTTTTTGTTGGGGCTGGCCCTGAGCCATACATAATCCTCATAGTATCTGCCTCCCCAGTAGCTAGGTCTACTGGCATGAGCCAATGTGTCTGGTTGGGACATTATTTTCTGTTTGGTTGTTTGTGCAAGGCCTTGAACTTTCCCTCAGCATTTTCAGTCATAGCTGGTACACCACAACTTGAGCCATGTCTTTAGTCCTGGAACATTACTTTTAGTTATAGTTTGTCTACATACCTATAATAATTAGTACAAATCTATCCAGTCTTTTGTACTGCTTTACACAAAAGTTCAATTTTTCCGGGTGTTGGTGACTCATGCCTGTAATCCTAGCTACTCAGGAGGCTGAGATCTGAGGATCACAGTTCAAAGACAGTCTGTGAGACTGTCTCCAATTAACCACCAGCAAACTGGAAATGGTGCTGTGGCTCAAGCAGTAGTGTACTCGCCTTGAGCTGAAGAGCGCAGGGATAGCGCCCAAGCCCAGAGTTCAAGCCCCATGAGCGACCAAAAAAAAAAAAAAAGTTCAATTTTATTAGAAATCATACTACCTAGGATTACTAGTTCTATCAAGTTAACTTAAAATTTTTAATTAATCTCTTGTGTTAAACTGTTCAAAGGAAACAATAAATTCCATGCTCATGTATACATAGACTTATCAAGCAGGATTTCCCAATAAGCCCAACTTTGAAGGCTTAGAAGGAAACGTTAGGTTGGCATAATATCTTAATAGTATTCTAGTAAAGCTTTTACTCTACTAGAATACTATTAAGACATTATGTTTTCCCAGGGACAGAACTCTCAAAGAAAATCTAACAAGGGAGATTTGAAAAAACAAGTTACCACTTACATAAAGAATACATAAGTACTCATCAGACACTATACAACTTGTGGGAGGGAATGGGAGGGAAAAACTGGGAGAGGAGCATGGAAAGGGTAACATTGTACAAAAAGAAATGTAGCTGCGGGCTGGGAAGGTGGCTCAGTGGTAGAGTGCTTGCCTTGCATGGAAGGTGGCTCAGTGGTAGAGTGCTTGCCTTGCATGCCTGAGGCCCTGGGTTCAATTCCTCAGCACCCACATAAGCAACAAAGAAAAAGCCGGAAGTGGTGTTGTGGCTCAAGTGGTAGAGCGCTAGCCTTGAGCTGAAGAGCTGAGGGATAGCGCCCAGGCCCAGAATTCAGGCCCCACAACAGGACCCCCCCAAAAAAAAGAAATTTAGCTGGGTGCCTGGGCACCTGTGGCTTTTGCCTGTAATCTTAGCTACTCAGGAGGCTGAGATATGAAGATGACAGTTCAAAGCCAGCCCAGGCAGGAAAGTCAGTGAGACTCTTATCTCCAATAAAGCACTCAGAAAACCGGAGTTGAAGAACTGAGGGACAGGGCCCAGGCACAGAGATCAAGCCCCACGACCAACAAAAAAAGAAATGTACTCTTTACCTGACTTAAATAACTGTAACCCCTTTGTACATCACCTTTATACTTACAATTTAACAAAAAACAAATCATTTATGAAAAAAATTCCATGAGTAGAGATAAGGAAATTGTCAAAAATTTATGTTTTCTCTTCTTTGCAGTAGAACCATTTCTAGTTTCTTCATCTTCCTTCCTTTGCTTATAAACCTGACTCATGACTGTTCGTGGCTGTTTTTATGTGTCTAACTCTGAATCATGTTTCAGGCTGCCTATTCAAAGTGGTATCTTTTGATCAGAAAATCCAATAGACCCAGTAGGTGGGCAAATAATATAAAGAATTATTCTAACTAAAGAAACTGATACTTAATCATTGAAACTCAAAACAATAGAACCCAATGATGCAGAAGACAATGACATGGTACTAGAAGATACAGGGCAGGGGTATGGAAGTGCTATTATTGTTATGCCCTAGTATGGATGAAATGGAAGGCATTAAATACTAACAGCAAACTGCTCAATAGTATTAAAGATTTCACAATGTTTTTCCTTTATAAATAAATAACTGGGGGTTGGAGGTATGGCTCAATTGGTAGAGTGCTAGCTAATAAGCAAAACAGTCCCATCTCAGAGCAAAAGTAAAAAAATTAAAAAGTTAGTGAAATGATTAGTGAAGAAAGAAAATTAATACTATATATAAGTTAAAGTAGAGGGGTTTTTTTCCTTATGGGTAGTTTTATCAACTTATTTTGCATAGAGCATGAATAGCTTTCCAAAGTCATAGGCTATTACATAAATGGCAGTGGCTAGGTACTTACAATCCCAGCTACTCAGAGGTAGAAGCAGGATAGTAAGTTCAAGTCCAGGCCAGACAAAAAGTTAGTGAAACCTCACCTCAGAAACAAACAAAAAAGAAGCCAGGCACCAGTAGCTCACAACTGTAATCCTAGCTACTCAGGAAGCTGAAATCTTAGGATCATGGTTTCAAAGCCAGCCCAGGCAGGAAAGTCTGTGTGACACTCTTGTGACACTCTTGTCCCCTATTAACCACCAAAAGCAAGAAGTGAAGCTATGGCTCAAGTAGTAGAGTACCAACCTTGAACAAAAAAGCTAAGGGACAGCATCCAGGTCCTGAGTTCAAGCCCAGTACTGGCACGCAAAAATTAATAAATATATAAATTAAATAAGGCAACTTTCAGTACTACAAGAATAAAGATAGACACAAATTCTTTCTGAAATGACAAAATCTGTAGAAGTGTGACAGAAAGTGTGACAGCACAGTAAGGCAGATATTTCTAAATTACTAATTGTAAAGAAGTACACATTAGTAAAATCTAACTTCAGTTTAAAATTACTTTTGGCCTTAACATATTAATAAGCTATTCTGCAGAGTAATATTAAGCAATAGAGTAAAGAAAAACACACTGTAAAGAGTGTGGATATCAGCTTCTGATTTTGTGCTAGATGTTGCTAAATAGTTAATGGTTTCCTGAAATATTCTCACAATAAAGATGTACAATATTGGGGTAAAACTTCCATTTAGACGGATTTTTGTCCCTCTTGTTTCAATGCTTCATTTCCAATGACCAAATAGTATCTGCTTGATAGAAGACACAAAATAAATATTTTCTGAATAAATCAAATATCAAAGGTTAAGTGAGGCAAAGAGCCAAAAATGACAAAAAAGAATGCCCACTCTATGTCAAAACACATATACAATGTAACTGTAATCTTGTGTTCCAATCTGGCATGTGAGTAACCCACAAGTAACATAAATATCCACAGTAACACCAGCAAATTACCATCATTTCACATTAACAGTAATAATGTATACACACGTACAATTTTTACCTAGGAAATCTTTACATGGGCAAAAACAAAAAGAAAGCACAGGGGCTAGAAAGGTGGCTCAATGGTAGAGTGCTCACCTTGCATGCATGAGACCCTGAGTTCCATTCCTCAGCACCACATAAGCAGAAAAGGCCAGGAAGTGGTGCTGTGACTCAAGTGGTAGAGCGCTAGCCCTGAGCTAAAGAGCTGAGGGACAGCACCCAGGGCTGTTTCAGGCAGGTATATCACATTATTGCCTTTTATTTTCTTTTTTTGGTGCTGGTCCTGGACTTCAACTCAAGGCCTGCGTTTTGCTTAAAGCTTTTTGCTTAAAGCTAGCATTCTACCACAGCTACACTTTCAGCTTTTTGGTAGTTTATGGGCGGCAATAAGAGTCTGATGGACTTCCTGCCTTGTGTGGCTAGTTAAAGTAGCTTGGTAAAGGCATGCACCTAGCTGCATAGCCTTTTTCTTTTCCAGTGTAGTAATATATTTAACATATTTAACATTTTAGCCTCTTATAAGTACAGTGGCATGAAGCACATTCACACAGTGGTACAACCATCCCAGAGAAACACTAGTCATTAACAGCTAACTTTCCAGTCTTTTCCATCCTAGCTCCTAGCTGGTAACCTTTCCATCTCTACAAATATAACTACTTAACATACCTCACAAATCTAGAGTCCTTTGTGTCATTGATTGTACTTAGCATGTTCTTTCAATGTTATGGTGCCAGTGGCTCAGATCCTTAATCTTAGCTACTCAGGAGGCTGAGATCTGAAGACTGTGGTTCAAAATCCACTCAGGAAGGAAAACTCTGTGCAACTTTTTATCTCCAACTAACTAGCAAAAGCCAAAATTGGAGCTAAGGTACAAGTGGTAGAGTGCCAGTCTTAAGTGAAAAAAACTAAAGGACAGCATCTGGGTCCTGAGTTCAAGTCCAGTACCAGCACAAAAATAAATAACCAGAGCACATTGTAAGTACAATGTTATTTATTTGGTGAACTGAAAACCTTTTGTACAGCTTCTTACAGAGTTCAGGTCGTGAATTCAAGACTCACAACCAAAATAAATAAATAAAATAAATAACCAGAGCAAAAGGGATAAAGGCATGGCTCAAATGATAAGAGTATTTGCCTAATGAAACACTAACAAAGTTTTGAGTTTAAACCCAAATACCACCAAAAAACAAAAAAATAGCAAGTGTAAGTCCAGAAACTGATTTTAGTATGTGTTTCAGGTGAGAGGAGACCAGGGCCTCACATATGCTAAATAGATGATCTAGTACTTTGCCACATCCCAGGTCCAGTATATTACATTATAATATATACTAATGCAATACTACATATGGACTATTATATCATATATCACATACATTATATAACTGAATATATGAACAAATGTATTTCTAAGTTCACTAAGCTACAAAAATACTTGAGGAATTAGTTGCCTGGAATTATCTAAATATTAAAAAACCAAATGTGAACCTATTTTTATTTATTTTATTTTTTTTTTTTGAGTTGTGGGGCCTGAACTCTGGGCCTGGGCTCTGTCCCTCAGCTCTTCAGCTCAAGGCTAGTGCTCTACTACTTGAGCTACAGTGCCACTTCTGGCTTTTTCTGCTTATGTGGTGCTGAGGAATTGAATACACGGCTTTATGCATAAAAGGCAAGCACTCTACCACTGAACTACCCTCCTTGCCCAAATGAACATATTATTTCACAGTAACATTTTATTAAAGCATAGTACATAGCTTAGGATTCCACTATCATATATCTAAAACCCTATATCTCAGGGCCTTGCATATACTTACATATACATGTTCTTCTACTAAGTCTTGCCCTTAGCCTAATTCCATTTTCTTATGTGATAGATACATACATGCATAAGAAGAAAGTTGGTATAGGACTGATTGCTCATCCTAGCTACTCAGGAGGATGAGATCTGAGCATAGTGGTTCAAAGCTAGCCCAGGCAACAAAGTCTATGAGACTCTTATCTCCAGTTAAGCATCAAAGAAGCCAGAAGTGAAGCTGTGGCTTAAGAGGTAGAGCACTAAAAAACCTCAGAGACAGCACCCAGGCCCAGACTTCAACCCCTGGAACCAAAACAAAGTAGAAAAAGAAAAAAGTCAAAAAAACATATAATTATTTAACAATACTTTTGCACTACAGTTGGTAGGATTATGTGGGACTTTCACTTCCTTCTATTTTGCTGACCTATAGCTTTAGTTTTTCCCAAAACATAGATCAGTTGCACACAAAATGTTGGATAACAGCCTCCAGGATCTTAGAACGTTATTTACAAAACCAGACAAAATTCAACATCTCATTTGTCACTACCAACATACTTACATAATATGGTTCTGCTTCCCTTTCAGTTATCTCATCCTGGTACAGAGTGAAGCAAGTTGGAATTCGTCCAAACCACACATCTCGAAGTACATCTTTGTCATCTGTCATTCTTCCAGTGGTTAAAGCAGTACATATAGGCTAAATTCTTTCTTCAATCAAAGCCAAACTGAGAATAAATGAAGAGCATTAGTCAGATCCTTGCAAGTATGAATGAACCTGCTATAAAATGGAAGTTTATATTAAGAACTGAATTGCAACCCCTTGGTAAAACTATTTAAGAATAATTTTTTAAATGTGTGTATGAAGAAAATGAATGGAATAAAAATTATTCACTTCAAAAAATCTGTAGCTGGGAGTGTGGTTTACTGGTAGAGTGCTTGCCTAGCATGCATGAAGCCCCGGTTTCGATTCCACAGTACCACATAAACAGAAAAAGCCAGAAGTGGCTCTGTGGCTCAAGTGGTAGAGCGCTAGTCTTGAGCAAAAAAGAAGCTCAGACAGTGTCTAGGCCCTGAGTTCAAGCCCCAGGACTGGCAAAAAAAAAATTGCATGGGCCAGATCAATGGCTCATACTTGTAATCCTAGGTTCTCAGGAGGCTGAGATCTGAGGATGGGATTTGAAGCCACCCAGTCAAGAAAGTCAGTGAGATTATTATCTCCAATTAACAACCAAAAAAGCTAAAAATGGAGTTGTGGTTCAAGTGGTAATAGAGTGCTAACCTTGAGCACAAAAGCTCAGAAACCGCACCCAAGGCCCTGAGTTCAAGCCCCGAGATGAGTACACACAAAAAAAAATCTGTACAATTGGTGAGGCCATGGTGACTAATAATACCTATAATCCTTGCTACTCAAGAGGATGAGATTTGAGGATCACAGTTCAAAACCAGGCTAGGCAGGAAAGTCAGTGAGACTCTTACTGTCAATTAATCATCAAAAAGTGAGAAGTGGAGCTGTGGCTCAATTGGTACAGTGTTAGTCTTGGAAAAAAGCTCAGGGATAGCACCCAGGCTCTGAGTTCAAGACCTAGTTCTAGCTCAAAACAAAACAAAAACCTACATGACTGAGCAGGCAGAGTAGAACAAATCAATGGTCCCAGCTCTCCAGGAAGCTGGACAGCTTGAGTCCAGGAGTCTGGGGCTAGCTTGGGCCATTTGAAGCCCCATCTCCTTAAAAAAAAAAATGGGGGGGATGTGAAGGGTAAACAAAGGAGGAGGCTGCAATGCTTGGTAAGAAATGTATGCATTATCCTGCCCATGTAATTGTAACCCCTCTGTACAGTATGTTCACAAAAAAATAAAATTAAATTAAAAAATTTAAAAAAAAATGGGGGCCAGATGCCAGTGGCTTACGCCTGTAATCCTGGCTGCTCAGGAGGCTGAGATCTGAGGATCATGGTTCAAAGCCAGGCCGGACAGGAATGTCAGTGAGACTCGAATTAATGTCAGTGAGACTCCAATTAACCACCAGAAAACCAGAAGTGACACTGTGGCTCAAGTGGTAGAGCGTTCACCTTGAGGGACAGCGCCCAGGCCCAGAGTTCAAGACCCATGATCAACCAATAAAAAAGCCAACATTTCAAACTTCATAAGCAAAGCTTGGTGTTCTGGTTCATACTTATAAGCCCAGCACTAGGGAGTCTGAGATAGGAGGGCAAAGAGTTTTTAGTTGACACCAGCCTAGGCAACTTAGGGAGACTGTATCAGAAAGTCTATGTAAACATTCACTACATAATCAAGTAAATCAAGTAAAGCACAATCAAAATACAACTATACTTGCATCAACTTTTCAAGCCCAGAGGTCTTATACTCTACCTAAAGAAAACCTTTCACTTATGCCCTATGATCCTCAATAGCCCAACGCTAAGTACTGGAGATTGAACACAGTATCTCAGATAAACACTACCACAAGGGCCACTACCACTTTCAGCTTTTTGGTTTGGTAGGTGTTTTCTCTTTTTCTTTTTTTTTGGTGGTGGTCCTGGGGCTTGAACTCAGGAACTGAGTACTGCCCCTTAGTTTTTTTTTTTGGGGGGGGAGAGGGAGGGTCCAGTTGTGGGGTCTGAACTCTGGGCTTGGGCGCTGTCCCTCAACTCTTCAGCTCAAGGCTAGCGCTCTACCACTTGAGCCACAGCGCCACTTCCGGTTTTTTTCTTTTTGGTTATGTGGTGCTGAGGAATTGAACCCAGGGCCTCATGCATGCAAGGCAAGTGTTCTACCACTGAGGCACCTTCCCAGCCCGTGCCCCTTAGTTTTTCTTATTCAAGGTTAGTGCTCTACCATTTAAGCTCCACTTCTGGCTTTTTGGTGGTTAATTGGACTTTTCTTCCCAAGCTGGCTTCCAACATTAATCCTCAGAGTTCAGCCTCCTCCACATCTAGGATTACAGGTGTGAGTCACTAACACCCAGTTTGGTTTAGTGTTTTATTTCTGAGATAGGGTTTTGATAATTTTGCCAGGGCTGACCTCAACTTCCCTAGTAGCTGAGATTGTAGATGTGCAAATGCACACTACATTCAGCTAGAATTAGAGTTAGCCAGCTCTTATCTCAACCAATAAATAGCTGGGCATGGTGGTACACTTGCTTTTCTTTGGAGAGTCTGCCCCCAAAAGAGATAAGAATGGACTTAAAGGAAATAAGTTCACCTAACAACAGGAGTGTTTAAAGTCTTACATTCCAGCCACATTCATCAAAATTCTACAGGATTTTTAGGAATAAAAACTATTTACAATGGGATTATGTTCTAAAAGATACTTAAAAATATCAAAGTTGAAAATGTACCTACTACAGCTAATATACTGAACACATCATGGCTAAGCAATAAAATACCTTCATGATTCCATAGTGTCTGCGAGCTGCCCTTGCTGCAGCTGCCAGGCATCACAAGAGCACCACACACAAATGGCCAACCAGGAAAAAAAAATCAGAATTCAAAATGCCAAGAACATGTAACTATGGCTGAGTCTGTTTAAAGACACAAAGGAAAATCGGGAAGGGCAGAGGACAAATAAAATGGAAATATATAATGTCTGTGTATGAAGACAGCATAAGGAAACTCACCAAAAGGTTTTAAACAGGTGGTAGAGGAGACCAGGAAAGAGAAAGCAATAGATGAGGTTAATCTAATTATATGATTATGTGAAATGCCATGATAAGACTCCTTTGTATACTCAACAGGTGCTAAAAAAAAAAAAAGAATTACAATAAAGTAAAACAAGCTATACGCTACACACCAGCAGGAGTGGAAAAGGCCAAGAAGGGAAGAGCCAACAAAGATGATAAATGAGAAACAGGGTGAATAAGGAACAAGATGAAGGATGAAGTTCTTTATATGAGTTATGAAAATAGAAAAATGAAACCTGTTAAAATTGTTTTAAGAAGAGGAAGAATGTAGGCTACAGAGGGGGTTGATCAAGATACCTTGTTTAGATGGACAGATGGAAAAGTCTCAATGAAACTTCCCTTTGTATAACTAATCTATCTTAATAAGTCTTTTTAAAATTCTCAGTATGATTTCCACTGTATCTGTATTGCTTTCACATAATGATTCAGTCATCAGTGAGTTAAAAAAAATCCTAAATTGAAGACAGATGCTTCCTGAATGAATGTCCTATTTCTGCATCCAATTCAGGGTTACCCAGTTGACATTTGTTATATATTCCAAGCAGGGTAAAATATCATCTATAAAGACAAGAAATGGGCAAGGACATCATCTATCAACTTTTTTAAAATTTTGAGTTAGGTAGAATAGTAATCCAATAGCTGACATTATAACACATTTTAATATCACACATGATCTTAGGCAAGTCACTTCACTGAGCCTCAACCTACTTTACCAATGAAAATGAGTCACAAAGTTGAAAAAATATGCACTTGATATAAAATGCAAACAATTCTTGCTCTTATGTCATTATCTGTTAAAAATTCATTCTAGTATATCATAAATCAGCTCTTTGGTTTGGTGGGTGTTTTGTTTTTCTTTTGCTCTTTTGATGCTGGTCCAGGGGCTTGAACTCAGAAACTGAGTTCATTTTGGGGGGAGGGGGTCCTCAGTTTCATCCACCAAGCCTAGAGAATCTAAAAAGGTTTGATGAACTAAAAAAGCAATCATTTGGTAGCAATACACAAGAGGAGAGCCTCATTTGGGGAGGGAAGGGAAAAAACAAAATGTTTAAATAGGGATACAAGTTGACCCACTGCAACAATGAGATGTACAAGACACTATGTTGAAATACAAACTTTACAATTTGGGGCAAAGTGTAGTTGAGGAGGTGAGAGGGAAGGGATGGTAGGGGAAAAACAAAGGAGGAGGCAACAAAGCTTGATAAGAAATATACCTCGCTCATGTAACTGTAACCCCTCTATACAGTATTTTCACAATAAAAAACTTATTAAAAAAAAAAGAGGAGAGCCTCAAGTTAGACTAGCTTGGAAGTAATTTCTGCAACTAAGTGCTCAATTTAGAATGGTCCTAGTGAACTGTTAAAAGAGATGAGTCTTTCAAAGAAAAAATTAATGTTTGTAAAGCATGAAGAATGAAGACAGTGGGCTATAAGGTAAAGCAGGCTTTTAAGTCAAACTGATAGGGGTTTAAACTCTGACCTATTAGTTGTATACCCTAGAACAACAACCTGTCCTCTCCAAATCCTATATCATGAAGTATGCAGACAATTCTAGTTTTCAATCAATAATTGTTTGCACTAAGTAGTCTCCTTGTGCTTCCAAGGCAGGTATGCCTTGGCAGGTATGCTCCTTCCTCTTTTTTGGTGAACTCTTTAATCCTCTCTTGAACAACTGCTAATCTTTTAAGAGCTTAATATCAGCTCCTTGGGAAGCTTTCCCCTAAGCAGCCTCTAGTCTAATTACTTTAGTAACCTATACTGGGAAGCATAGCAGTTATTATATTAGTTATGTCTCTTGCCTCTCTCCTCTTTAAACTATGAGTTCTTTGATAGCAAAGACAAAAATTAAATCAGATCTACCTTATCTCCAATTAACAATTAGCAAATATTAGGCTTGGCAAGTTTTGTTAACTAAATATAAATAAAATCCCTACTTTGGGTAATAAATATAATCCAAACTACCTAAAAAATACTTTTACTTAATCAGTACAATCACACTTTAATTTCAGCAAAGTTATTTATTTAGAAAGGTTTCCTTACATACATTTACAGCATTGTCCCCACCAATGTGAAGGTACAGAAACCCATGATGCAGACCTCCACAAATAAGCTGTTTGAGGATAAAGGCTTCCTAACTGGAATATTCTATTTCTGCATCCAATTCAGGGCTTGTGCTAGTTAGGTGGCCAGTTGACATCTGTTAACCAATTAATCATTCAAACCAGGATAAAAATGTACAAGTAAGCCAGGCGCCAGTGGCTCATGCCTGTAATCCTAGCTACTCAGGAGAGTGAGATCTGAGGATGGAGGTTCAAAGCCAGCCTGGACGGGAAAGTTTGTGAGACTCTCATCTCCAATTAACCACCAGAAAACCAGAAGTGGTAATGTGGATCAAAGTGGTAGAGTGCTAGTCTTGGGCAAAAAAGCTCAGGGAGTATGGCACTGTGGCTCAAGTGGCATAGCTCTCATCTTAGCTGAAGAGCTTAGGAATAGCGCCCAGGCCCAGGCGGAGTTCAAGCCCCACAACCAACAACAAAAAAGTATAAGTAAGCTTTTTATATCACCTACCAAGAAAAGTCAACAACAAAATCCACAGCTACCTAGAAATTTCAAAATATAGATTAGAGTAAGTTTGTAAGAACTAAAAATAATAGTATGTGCTGGCTGGTTTTATTCTAAAGTTAAACTGTTATGAGTACAGTCTACATACCTACATTTCCCTAATCCAGCAACATTCCCAAACTTCCACAAGCATTTCGCCTTATTTTCTTGTTCCTCAAATCTCCAAATAATCTTCCCCACCCACTCACAGCTAAAGACCTTGCTTTCAATTTCATTTCATCCTATTTTACTTGTCTGCAGAGGGGGAGGGGATGGAACTGGTAAATTCCCTAAACATTGAGTGCCCCAGGGCTCAGTCCATGAGACACGCCCTTGGAGATTCCCCAGGCTATATTATAAACACCATTTATACATTTACAGTTCCCATTTACATCCTCAGCCCAGAGTAGAGCTTGCTTTACTTTGTATACCACTACACACAGACATAGCAATCGGAAAATTCAACCTGTGCAAAACTGGAAATGGAATTTCAGAACTTCCTCCCTCCTCTTCCCTATTATTCTGTTGTCCTCCCTATTTCACTAAGTGGTAATTCTATTCTTTGGATTCCCGGATCACAAACAGTCTGCTCAAACTATTCCTTTGCAGTAGACTGCTCCACCTTAGAAACAAGTCAACTGCCTTTATCAGTTGGGACCATCCCCTGAGTTACCACCCTAATCCAAGTCACCTTGACCTTTAAACTGGATAGGCAAAGGCCTAGTACCAGCTCAGATGTTAGCACTGCAACAGTCAATATAGCAATCTGATCTTTTTAATATCCTAGATTTAAACTACACTCAAGACCTACCTCAATCAAAGCAAAAACAGCTCTGAAAGCTTAAAAGTGTCTACACAATCTTGCCCTATTTCTACCACTGTATCTACTTCCCTCTCCACTAGCTCATTGTTTTCCAGCCAAATTGTTTTCCAAACAAATTTGAGGAGCAAATAAGCTTGTTTGCTCCACCTCTGGGCCTCTTTGGTAGAGCTGTGGCTCATTCCACTTACAGCTTCACCACTTTTAGGTTAGGTCTTCCACTGAAAAGTCTGTTTCTATGGCCACCACTTGACCTCCCACCCACCATCTAACATATACTTTTTTTTTTGGTCGGTAGTGGGGTTTTAACTCAAGGGCTGGGAGCTGTCCTTGAGCTTTTTCCTTCACAGACAGCTTCTACCACTTTGAGCTACAGCTCCACATCCAGTTTTCTGGTGGTCAATTGGAGGCAAGCATCTCACAGACTTACCGACCTAGGCTGGCTTTGGAACCCCGATCCCCGGATCTCAGCCTCCTAAGTAGCTAGGATTACAAGCCTCAACCAACAGTGCCCGGCTTGACAGGTACTTTTTGATTCAATGCTTTCTCTTCCTCATCTCCAAAGTGAACTTCAGAGTGACATACTGTTCAATTCACAGGACACACAGTAAATACTCAGTATTTCCAAAACCACACCTGATGTGTATTCACTATCTTAAAAGTCCACATCCATACAGCTCCTTCAGTTCATTTTTTTCCCAATTATAAGATGGACTTAAATCTAGTGTAAAATCCCTCTCACTACCCTAAAGCCAACACCCTTCTTTTCAAAATTCAACTAACTACTCCTGGTAGTAAATTACTTCAGTCATAATCCAGTACTCAAGCCTCAAGGACTCGAAAGATTTATCAGGTGAACTATGGAAGGTCTTGGAGGTTCAATTGCTGCCTGATAAAGTCTCTAGGTTCTGATTACTGAAAGTATGCAGTGCTTTCTTGCCCTTCAGAAAAATCGAGAACCACCCAGTTCCTAGATTCCTTCTCGATGGCTGAGGAGTATAAAAAACAACCCAAAGTATAACTAACGTCTGCGAAAGTGCTTTAGCAACAGAAAACGGCTTTGGTCGCATCAAATCTTATTATGAACATGAGATTTCAGAAATACCAAGGTGAAGCTCACATTTCCTCATCTCGTATAAAATCGAAATGCCCAGGGACATGTTTGAGTAACGACTTGAATTAATATTTGAACTGTCGAGCCAGGCACTCAACCCCCTACCTTAGACACTGACTGACACGCTGCCCAGGACTGACCGCACAAGGCCGGGCCAAGGGCTCCGGAGGCGGTGCCCCGAGACGCTCCGTCAGCGCTACGCGGGGTGCCTCTTCCCACCTCCTCACCGTCCCCTACCGGGACCCCGGCCCCTGACCCCCGACCCGGCGTGCGCCTCACGCCCGCCCTCCAGCGCGCGCGCACGCACACACACACACACACCTTCTCCGAGCTGCGGCTCCTTCTCGCTTCCCGCACCGGTGAAGTGGCACCGTCCCAGCACTGCCTGCTTTGACCCACACAGTCCTGCAGAAACACGGAGACTAGGAGTCCGGGGAGCTCGCGCAGCCGCAGGAAAGCACCAGCTCCGAGGTCCGTGCGAATCCCGCTGTACTTCCGCCCTCCGGTTCTCAGGGACTACAACCGGCGTCGACGCCGCGGAATCCTGGAAGCCCACCGCGAATCCAGTCACCCTGGGCGCCCGAAGATGACGTCACGAGACCCCACGTGGCCTGCGCTCCGCCCTCGGAGCCCGGCCCAACCCCGCGAGGCTCCCGCCGCTCTCGAGCATGCGCAGATCAAGCGGGGCGTCGGGCGCTGTCCGGTAATGCAGAACGTCCCCAAAGACTGCAGGCTTTTCCCTTACCCTGGTCTGGTGCCAACACGTGGTCAGTGATGTTTAGAGGGGTTGAGGTAACATAACAAAGCAGTGGTCTGTTGATGTTGTTTTGTTCTTGTGCCAGTCCTGGGGCTTGAACTCGGGGCCTGAGCGCTGAGCCCTTCTGCTTTTTTGGCCACAGCTCTACTTCCGGTTTTTTGCTGGTTAATTGGACCTGAGAATCTCACGGGACATTTCTCCTGGGTGGGTTTGGAATCGGGATCCTCCGATCTCAGCGGGAACCACCAGCATCAGGCAGAACAGCATTAAAAAAATCCCAAGACATTGCCTTCCCTGAGCCTTAAATCTTCTCATCACAAAATACTTGTGTAAAGTAAAACCTTAACTTTCAAAATGCTTTGACATGGGCGTCCTCAGTTAATCCTTCAATTTTATTTTATTTTTCTTTTAGAATTGTGGTACAATAGCTGTATTTAATTGAAGGCTGAGTACTGAACCCCACACCTATCCAGAAGTGTCTCTTTTTCTTACTGTTGGTGAAGCACTAAGCTTCTAAAGAGTATTTAAATTAGGTCTATCCAGGAGTCTTACTAGGTACTTAAGGTGTTTCTGGGTTTTTGTTGTTTTGTTTTTTGTTTGAACTCTGGACCTGGAAGCTGTCCCTCAGCTCTTCAGCTCAAGGCAAGGGCTCTACCACTTGCGCCATGGCGCTACTTCCTGTCTTTGGGATGCTCTGTATGCTAAGTAAATACTGGCAGACACTCAGAACAAGTTCTGACAGATAAGGAAAACCTTGGTCTCCAGCTTCCTGAGTGCTGGCATTATCGACCTGCTCCACCATGCCTAGCTGGCACTACAGGATTATTTAGAATCTTTCTGAAAGTTATCTAGTTCAATGACTTTCAAATGGTTGGTTACTATCCACAGTTAGGGGAGCATAGCTAGCATCATTTTAAATGAAATAGTAGTTGAAAATATAAACACAGTTCACATAGGTAAAAGGTAAATATTGTTTTCTAAAATGTTTGCTTAAGTATGTATGTAGTATCATTGGGTAAGACTTTGAAATATATATCTTGCCAGGTTCACATCTATAATCATAGCTACTTAGGAGCCTGAGATGAGAGGATCACAGTTGGAAACCGACCTGAGCAGGAAATTCTGGGGACCCTTCAATTAACCAGCAAAAAGCCAGACATGGAGGTATGGCTCAAGTGGTTGGGTGCCAGCAATACTGGCACAAGAAAGAAAATGTTAGCCCCAAGGTGTGCATTTGCTGGAAATGTACATTCACTATAAAATTCTTTCAGTTAATCCTAGCTACTCTGCAGGCTGAGATCTGAGGATCATGGTTCAAAGCTAGCCCTAGGCAGGAAAGTCTATGAGACTCTAATCTCCAATTAACCCCCATAAAACCAAAAGTGGTGCTGTGGCTCAAAGTGGTAGAGCACTAGCCTTGAGGGCAAAAGCTCAGGGACAGGGCTGAGAATGTGGCTTAGTGGTAAAGTGCTTGCCTAGCATAACTGAAGCCCTGAGTTCAATTCCTCATTACACATAAAGAGAAACTTCAAGGACAGTGCCCACGCCTGAGTTCAAGCACCAGGACAGTTGTGTATGTGCGCACACGTGCACACACACACACACACGAGCTCAGGGACAGCACCCTGGCTCTGGGTTCAAGCCCTACCACCTACCAAAAAAAAATTCTTTCTCCAGACACCAGTGGCTCATGCCTGTAATCCTAGCTACCCAGGAGGCTGAGATCTGAGGATTGCGGTTCAAAGTCAGCCTGGGCAGGAAAGTCCCTGAGACTCTTATCTCCAATAAACCACTAGAAAACCAGAAGTGGTGCTGTTGCTAAGCGGTAGAGCACTCTCCTTGAGCTGAAAAGTGTAGGTACAGCGCCCAGGCCCAGAGTTCAAGCCCCACGACTGACCCAAAACAAAACAAAACAAAAAAATTCTTTCAATTACTATACAGTTGAATGCTTTCCTAATCAGTTATTAAAGGAAAGCTTGATGCAAGTCCAAGTAACAAAGAATGAACACTCTGTCCTAAAATCCAGTTCTGGTGATGTTCTTTTCTCCCTGTATCCCTGATTTCCTTCCATCTCCCTTTCTTCAATCTCCAACCAACAAAAGAAATACCCAATCCCTGTTCTTCAAAACAGCATTGCAGGGGCTGGGAAGATGGCTCAGTGGTAGAGGGCTTGCCTTGCATGCATGAGGCCCTGGGTTCGATTCCTCAACACCACATAAG